GTTACACTAGTAAATTATAAATGCCACGTAATTCTTTTGTTATCATATAATAAAATACTGCCTTTCTGAGGATTTCTGAGCTCTTTCCATATTTTTTTTTCAACTTGGCATTGAACAGATAGAACACAATAGATTTAAGGAGGAGCAATAATAGGATAAATTCTAGAAGTTCCACTGAGGTAGAAAAATTACCAGCCCCAAAGATCGTTTGCGCCCCCCCAATAGACGAAATCCTGGATCCGCCCTTGCTGATCACACATGATGATATGAAAAACATATAATAATTTGTACCAGATTCCTACTAGAACTAATATACCCTGGTCACTGATGCAGTAAAAATAACGGGTGATTTTTTAAGAGGTTATATTATTTGATTTTCAAAAAAAAACACAAAAAATTTGAAAAAACGATTAAATCTTTATTTGAGTCGATAGAACGGTCGATATAATTTAATGTTTAAAGATTATTTCATGTAAATGTTGGCCGCGGCACCGCTTTAGATGGCCCATGCGCAAGGTCCAATTTTGGCACACTCTCTCCAACATATCGGCTGGTATCTCACGAATAAATGCTTCAATATTGGCTTCCAGTACATCAATCGTTGCTGGTTTATCCCTGTAGACATTAGCTTTAACATGGCCCCACAAGAAATAGTCCAACTGCGTTAAATCACGATCTAGGCGGCCAATTGACGGGTCACAAACGTGAGATAAACTGTTCACCGAACTCGCCTCTCAATAGGGCCATTGTTTCATGTGCGGTGTGGCATGTGGCACCGTCTTGTTGAAACCACATGTCAGCCAAGTTCAGCTCTTCCATTTTGGGCAAAAAAAAGTTTGTTAGCATCGCACGGTAGCGCTCGCCATTCACAGTTACGTTCAGGACATTGTCGCCTTTGAAGAAGTACGGCCCGATGATGCCACCGGCCCATAATCCACACCAAACAGTGATTTTTTTGGGATGCATTGGTGGCTCTTGCAATGCTTCTGGCTGGTCTTCACTCCAGATGCGGCAATTTCGCTTGTTAACGTACCCATGAGCTTCGTCGCTGAACACAATTTTTCGATAAAAATGTGGATCTTCCTCCAACTTTGCCAGCGCCCATTCACCAAATTGGAAAAGTTGTGGGAGGTCGTGTGGCTTCAATTCTTGCACCAACTGTATCTTATAAAGTTTTACACCCAAATCCTGTCGCAAAATTTTCCACGTAGTGGAGTAAGAGAGGCCCAATTGCTGCGAACGGCGGCGAATCGACATTTCACGGTCATCACTAACACTGGCGGATACAGCCGCAATATTTTCTTCAGTCCTCACTCTACGTCTGCGTGTTGGTGGTTTAATGTCCAATAATGTAAACTGGGTTCGACATTTAGTCACAAGCTTCCGAATAGCTCCCTAAGTAGGCCGACCAAATTGCCCATAAATTGGAAGCAGTGCTCGATGCACTGTCTTAACCGAGCATGAATTTTGATAGTAAAATTCAATAATTTGCAAGCGATGTTCGTTCGTAAGTCGATTCATGGTTAAATAATAGACCAAACTGAACAAGTTTGACAATGACACAAGACACGATTCACGCGTCATCTGTTAAAAACAGTGTTGCCAAAAAAATAGATACTAGCAAAAAAATCACCCATTATATATAGTAATCAACCAAAGAATGTAAATGTATTCAGAAATTATCTAAAAACACTCAAAAGTCACTTGAATTGATTAATTAATTGTAGCTAAAATTCGCGCTTTAAATATTGTTGTTCTTTAGGCCAGTCTTCTAAATACAGATTAGAGAACTTTGTTTTCTGTAAAATTTGTAAAAATTGACTATTGAATAAAGATTTGTTTAAAAAAAACATGATATCTAGTATGCCACAAAACAGCAGTTGGTTTGCTGCTAGCCTGGTATCTACTAAATAAACATCATGAATGGATATAAAATAAATTAAGTTAGCATAGGACCTAGTAAAAAATAAAATGTAGTTCCAATATTAGTTAGTATCTACCTGTATGCTGTTTAAAAATTAACCATAAGAAGGTATAACTGCATCGCTACAAGGAGTATTATTTCAGGTTTTTCTACCGTTATATTCCTCGAACGACCACCCTGAGCATGCAACCCTTTGCCATCCCCTTGGCCAATAAATAATGCCGGCAAGCCAAGAATAAACATGGCCACACCCCCGTAAATCATTCTACGGCTGTGACGTGTCGTCACCTAACGGAGGCTCCCCAAATCTGCCCGTCTAGCCTCATGGCAGGGTGAACCGCACAAGGGAAGACAGGTGATGGGGTGCAAAAGGTAATTTTTGGAGTGAATGCTTCTCACAAAAGACAGAAATTCAAGCTACTAGTCCATTGTGTATATGAAAAAGTTATGGTATGCTCCCCAAATCTACCAGTAACTAGCCTCATCACAGGGTGAATAGTTCCAGGAAGATGAAAAGTTAAGTTGAGAGCTTCTTGGAAAAAAGTCTGACGATTCAATCCACAGTGGTTATGAAAAAATCAAAGGTATGTATTGATAACGTTCCACGCATCTTTTATACTCGAGTCGCCACGCAGTCTCAAAGCCTAAAATACCCGTAGATATACCACAATGTGGGGCTTTAGGGGAATACAAGGAAAGGGGTGGGGGTGTCTCACACGGATTCTACGCACATATTCTGGCCGCACCTTAGAGATCCGCCGGGTGGTACCTCCACCGCTCGACTGCCTGAGAGATAAAAATCCTCATGGGACGGGATTCGATTATGCTCAGCTTACGGAGACAAGTTCAGTGGACCTATAGCGTCTACCAATACGTCATCGTGCTGCCTTAAGTTTGGCATACATAATAAACTATTGAGCAAATATGAGCCATGGGCAACTGCAGGGGGATGTCGGAGGGGCCGAGTTGACTGCCCACTAAAATTTGAATAAGTTAGGTGTACCATATTTACGATTTGAGGCCCCTGAGAAAATCTGCTACCCCCTTCCCACTGAGAAAAAATTCCAGCGTGCACCTTTGAAATAACCTATGGATATATATATATATATATATATATATATATATATAATATATATATATATATATATATATATATATATATAATGAGAAAATAATGGGCTAAGTCCGCAAAAAGAAGGAAAGGGGATCCGAGCAGAAAATAGGATAGGTTACCCGAGCGATACGTAATTCTGCTGGTTGGCTTCAACAGGACCGAAATGAATGCACATATGCAACTACAAAAGTAGATACACATGCTCATACGTCCGGATCCGGGTGTAACCTGAGGAAACAAAGATGTTGAGGGAAAAAATCACACGCGAAGTCCACAACAAGAGCCAAACTACACATTGTAGCATAAAATGGCTAGAAGACCTCGAATTTTCAAGGAGACAGCTAACCACAACCACTCGGCTGGTTACAACCACTTGCTGTGGTACTTCAAGCCCAAAGGATCTACAAAGAGAAACACCTTTCTCCGCATGATCATTTTCTATACACACACATATATATATATATATATATATATATATATATATATATATATATATAATTTATTTAATACCGACTATACCTTACTTTACCGCACATATTGAAAAAACTGTATCTCGAAGAAGCTTTAAGTAGATATCAGTGGCGGATTAACAAGGGTAGTAAGAGTAGCAAATGCTATAGGTCCGCGCATTTGAGGGGCCCGCCCACCAACGATTTCTGAAAGAATCTCTACTGGGTTAGAAAGCACTGATGTTGCATCCGCTACCACCTCCCTCCCCCGTTATCAAATTTTCAATCGCCAACCATTTCATTGTTCTTGTCCCATGTCCTCAAAGTTTACCTCTGAATCCGCCTCTGGGCCCCTTCGTGCAATTTGCTAGAGCGTTGGCTTAATCCGGTATTGGTCTCTACTTAGCTCTATATACGGATTGCTTGCTAGCTAATTTGAATTATAGATTTGACGTTTCGACGATACTGTAAGACATGTCACTATCTATATTTTACACCTGTAGTTACATGCTGTCCACTTTAGATACCATCAAAACTCACAAATAATATTCTCAGACACTTCGACAATTGAAATATTAAAACTATATCAAAACTAGAACGAATACTTACTTCAATAAAGAAGCCACTGTCACCCTGAAGCTTTTTCAATATCTAAAGCATCGTTCATAGCCTAATTACCGCCCCATCACTTTGACTTTGGTGACAGATGTTCCCGACAGTCCTGTTTGTTAAAAGCAGGTATCGGTTTTTTTCATATTCGCATTTGCGATCTCATCAACATTCTCGAAATTCATGCAAATATTTGTCGAATGTGAATATCAGGAAAATAGAATATAAAAATAATATTAGATACTTGAATAAAACAAGGAATATGTTTTTTTTGTTAGAAAAGTATGTTGTAAAAGACAAACAAAAACTATTCTCAAACATATTTTTTCTTCTTGGTGTTATAAATAAGTGACATTGTGTGTGAAACAAATGCAGCGGTAATTGTGGAATAACAACTTCAAACAAACAAAAACATGTTTTCTTTTACTTTTATCAGTCTTTGATTATAGATGTTTTACAAAGAAAAAATTCAAATTGAAACGAAAATACTTTTCTTAGACTCGTGGAAAATAAATGTTTCTGCAAACTATATACTTATTTCACTTTTATTATTTTTAACAGCAATTCAATAACAACGCTGAACTAGAGGAATATCAAAAATTAAAACCTTTGCAGTCGTCTCTCGTTCGAATATGTTTTGATGTGATGTATACTAAAAATAAACATTCATTCGCCATATTACTATCTCCTTGTCGCTAGTTGTTTAACGTTTTACTACCCAGCTTGCCGCAAAATGTATAAAATATTTCTTCATATTCAATACATTTATTTTATACTTTTCAGTATACCATTTTTTGTAGCGAAACATAAGACATATATCTTCAACAAAAGAACAAGGAAAAGTCATGTCAGGTCCAGCTGCAAGTACAAATTTGCTCAAGCAAGAATCAAAAATAAAAACTGCTTTTTGTGTAAATCGTTTACTCTCCATTTTGTGGACAAAATGTAGGAAGCAGTGCTATTCCAAAAACTGTTCCCTGATGTCCGTCCATTTTGGGAAACTTTTTCTGACACCACCCGTATTCACGATTTGCCATCTATCTAAATAAGTCTTTCTACCATATAACCATGACGAGTGTTCATCAAAGAAAAACAAACCGTCAAGTCACGCTAACTAAAAGTAAAAAAGCTTTATTAATTTGATAAACCCTTCAAAATTACAAAAACATATTTTTCACTTAAAAGTATGGCATCCGGATTACCAGTTTGAGGTTAAGTATAACTAAATCCTCAATTCCAATGATAATATAACATTTTGCCAGGATACAAGTGGATTAAACAACAAAATACAGCATTTATAAGCACTTACCACAACATCTCTGACTTTAATTGGCGTGTTTAGCTGGTTTTGGCACAATCTTTTACTCTCCGTAGCAGCTGCCTGACTCGTATATGGAGTATCGCGACACACTAGAAACCCGACCGCTACCGAAGAGGGCCGATGAATTACGAGCGCTGCGGCCTCGCGAGTACGTCGCACATACGAGGGGCATCCGTGAACTTTCTTTAATGCCGATAATAACCCGATATTTCCTTTTCTTTTGTTGGGCGCTTTTATATATTCTGACATGAATCCATGCAATAAAGAGAAACATAGATCGGTGGTTGTCGTGAAACTATTACTGATAAGGCGTTGAGCATCCAACTTGGAGTTCCTGAATATTTATTGTCGCCATACCGCTTTATTTGCCTCTTAAAACGTAGGTATTGGATGGGGATATTGCTGGTACACTTACAGAAAGTAGCTTCTTGCCGATCATTTGTCCAGGCTCCGCAGCTCTTATAAGGAGCTTAAAGACGCTTTGCTAATCCGATTTTTGAAATGCCTTAGGTTAGTAGTCCTAGGAAAAGCCTGCTGCAGGCAAGTAGATGGATGGGTTTCGGTACGGTTTTCAATCTAACAGGCTCTACATTCCGTTTGATACTTAGTAGATAGATAGGTATAGAGGTAGATCTACTTCGTACTTAAGGTCCGTATCGCCAGTCGTTCTTACAATAATTGTTGGAAACCTTTACGGCCTCCTTGATTTTCATAGTCTTTTCTTTCCTTCAGAAAGATCTGGGTATCGCTAGACTTATGTTCCGTGTTAGCGTCCTATTGTGAGGCTATGTTTTCTTTTTATATTGTACGACATTTCATGCAGATATAACACATGATATAAATCAAAAGAACGAACATTTTTATGCAAATAGATATTTATAACCTAACCTCAAAATAGAGCGCTGCCAAGGAAGAGTAGGAAACTATGAAAATCAAGGAGGTCCTAAAGGCGTCCAACAACATTGCACTCTATACAAGCCTGCCTAGCAGTTGATCAAAACGTTCAGCATCTTGGATTTAAGAACTTTTCGCTGATTAGATTTCTGAGACATTATTCGCACAAACCTGTTTTGAATTTTTCTTAGGTACTATGAAGGTACAAACATCAAAGCTCTAACGAAGTGCAAGTACCTAGGTACCTATCTAAGACTATAAAAGGACCGCTGGGCCCACTGGAAGCTCGAAACACTAGGGTAGAGCAAAGTCCGGGGCTCTACTTTGCCGCTGCAAATAATTGAAGAGTGGGGAAAGGTACGCATTTTTTTATTAATTACTTTTGGTTTTTTGGCATTTGAGGTGCCCCATCAAGGCGGGTCCCTAGGGACGGGTCCTGTGTGCCCATGTTGAGAAACGATAACGAAATATTTAGAAGGCGACGAAAAGGACAAGCTAGAATATCTTCCAATGAACCAGCAACACGAACATATTGTGAGATGAATAAAATAAAAAATTCATGGATTTTCCGTGCTTCTGTCCCATAGGGTACACTACCCAGGTAGGCACCTACATCTTGCTTCATTTTAGCAATAAAATTACCCGCTAAAGTCTCTCCCATCTATTTTTCCTATTTATAAGCCAGCAGGTATTCAAATCTCAAAAATAATGTATTCTAAGGGACTATTTTTGTATCACATATGGTGAAAAAATAACATACTAAATTTTTATGATGTCTTCTTTTCATCTTTTAAAGCAATATACTTTGCATAATCCCACATTCATGATTATAGGGAACCCTGTGACGAGACTATGACCATGCTGCCAAATCTTACGCTAAATCCTCAGACTTTCGATTTCTCTACTTGTTTCAATTTCGGACACGCACACCAGTAACGACAATAAATGGCAATGCAGAAATTATAATTATGCATTTTGCATTTATGATAGAGGTATGGACATTTTTAAAAGACGAATTGTTAGTATGGCTTGTCGCGATTGTTTAAGTTGTAACTACATGAATCACGAAAATCAAAAACATGGGGAGGTCATGAGGGTGATGATCCCTCAGGTGAATCGAGATCAACCACTAATATTTTTTGGTACTACAGATAATTGCGGTAGCAGAGACGCCTTTGTTCTATTCTGAACCGTGAATCGTTTCACAAGAAGATAAACTAGAAAACAAACAATGAAATGTTCCCTTTTAAATAAGATTTATTATTTATAACGCATTGGGCGGCTGTGTCCTCAAGCTGGACCTGGACTAAGGGCCGCATCGTCAGTCGTTCCCACAACTGTAGGACGCCAATATGGCATCCTTGATTTTCATTGATTTCTGCTGTTCCATGTCACCGCTCTATTTTGAGGTTATGTCATATATAACTATTTGCATCAAATTGTTCATGCTTTTGATTTAAATCAGCCTGAAATTTCTTACAAAAAAAGAAAACATAGCCTCACAATAGGAAAGCGTTGATGCCGACACGGAACAGTAGAAATCTATAAATACCACAGCCTTTCTGAAGGAGATAAAATACCATAAACATCAAGGAGGCCATAAAGGCATTCTAAAATTGTAGGAACGACTGACGTTATGTCCCTAAGTCACCCCCTGCAGCCTGAAATGTTAGCAAATTCCCTCAGTTTAAGGACTGAGGTATATAATAAAAAGGCAATTAGCAATTGAAGAAGACAGTTGATCTAGATGTAGAAACGGATTTGTACTGAAAATTATAAAACATTTTTGTTAAGTTCACATACGACTACATCAACATTTAGGTTGCCCCAATTGCCTCATTTAACGTAGGTTCTAATCGGAAAATCTAAAAATAATGGATGTCATTGCCGAATTGTCAGATCTAGTCTAAATGGTTTTTCTCGGAACGAATTATTACTATTTCTTTTCTTTCCAACTGCTGTTTACTTTAAATACAAACCTAGATCATGATACCAACAAAACCCTTTATCGCTATGGAATTCTGGCTATTAACATCTGACAACATCGTGCTGCACGCTGCCGCGGTCGTAAAGAAGGCGTGGCTTCAGCTTGCCTCGCCTACCTGTCAAAGTGACCATGACGTTGCGCACTGGGACGCTTCAGCGGCAGAGTGACGAGCGTTGACAACGCGGTGCGGCGTTGCCGATGATGGTGAAGTGGCCGCGATCCTGCGGAAAAGGACATCCCCGTTATCCATCATTCTAATAGAAAAGGGAACATCCTGGAAATTATTACAACTACAGCTATCATAATTCAAAGCAGCATACATATAGTATGGAAGCTGGTAGAATAATCACGAAATAAAATGTGTTTTAAATTACTTTCATTTTCTAGTTCATATGGAACTTGAGGGTGTTAATGCTAACCCTGTTAATCCCCGCCAGTATTGATGGATCTTTCTGTCCATCTCTGCCGGGATTATTTGTTTAGCCGTATTGTATGTGATCCCAATGCCTGGCTCAGTCCCTATGAAGGGTTTACTAGTCCCTCTCTTTGCAGTCCCTCTAGACCTGTGTTTCGTGATATCATCATTTCCCTCCCCTATGCCACCGAGAGCTTCCTTGCAATTCCACACTAATTTCGATGCCGAGTAGGTGGAGTCAAGTGCTTTAAGTGCGGCTTGACTTTTGGACACCTAAGGCACATTTGCTACCACATTCATGGCATTGGTGTGAGCCTGCTGGCATGCGTGTTTCGACTTCAGCCTGAGTGCCATCAGCATACCAGCGGAATCGAGTAAGCAGATAATTTATTTCCGCTGTAATTCTAATCAAAGTTTTAGGAAAAATATATGTCTGATAACAGACGGCCTCTCCTGAACCTAATACATCATGTTTTGAGACTCACAATCCGCTGTGTTGTATCAGAGAGTAAACGATTCGTTTCATTTTTGATAGATTGTTCGACTATCATATTAATATCACAAATTATTGTTTTGTTCCGCATCTGGTTCCGGGGATAATTCTTGAAATGAGGGAGTATAATAACTGAGAGAAAGTATCTGCTCTTCGCCATTCTCTGATGAAAAAGCCTCGCGGTCGCCCTTTGTCCCATCCCATAAAGAGATCATTTCTGTTTAAACATGAGGCTTGATGGAGGGCATTCAAATACCCAAAAATCAAACGGAATATAAAAAAACTGTAATTTCTTCCACTGGCAAATTAGGGCCCCTTATGCCGCAGGCTCGGAGCTTCCTGTGTGCCCAGGAGTCTCTACTTAGCTTGAGATGGCTCTGGATAAAACAATTAAGAGCCGAGCCTAGTAGTAGTGATGATGATGATAATAATAATAAATTTTACCTGGCGGACTACCTCAGCAAAATCTGTTTTTCAGTACGAACCAGGACAGACCCGTAGTACCAACAATGTACTACTCCAACAAGCCATCTACTGGTAACTGATTATTCAATAAATTGACTCCAGGGATGCCCTGTACCTATGTTGATCTTGCACAGATCTGGTGCCTGTTACAGACAACACACAACACAACAACAATGGCTAACTTCCGATGTGGAGATTCGAATCCGCGTACCTCGGATCGACCAATTAGTAGCTCGACGCGCTAACCACTAAACCACTTGGCTAAATAAGCTCTCCTAAAGGAGAACCTAAGAACAAATTATTTTGTCGAGCATGGATGCATTCACAACCCTGTTTCACAAATGTCAACAACTGTCAGAGCTTGGGATCATTCCCCATGAAGCACTATTCTACTGCATTCAAGAATTGACTTGCTGGATTCTTGAGAAGCGAGTATATTTGGTGAATATGCTGACATGATCTTAGCCAAAACCTATTTTTTCAATAAATTTGGATAATATAATACTGTTAACGTGGGGGTGCCTTTAAATCGGAAAAGTTGGTGCGCGCGGATCTCGTTGCGTTTTGCTACTTCCTTCCGTTTTGATACCCGGCCCCGGCTCGATATTAATTCAACGACCTTCTATCAGTAAAAAGTTAAAATTCATTTTCCGTGGTAACCACTCAATTGGATTTGACAGCGACAAACCATTAACTGATCAAATATAGTTTCACACTAATTTCATTATCCAGTGATCTGTGCGAAAGACTGTTTATTGCTCTAAGCTTGGCAACCCCGGCTCGCCGCTTCTTCAGACAACCTAAACACAGCAGCATACACGTCCGCCCGTAGAGCGTCGCAACGCCGCACCGCTTCGCCGCCGCCGCTGCTACAGTGACGCCGGCGCTACAACCTGTCCGTCGTCCGTCCGTCCACGGCCGCCGCGATCCGACGCTGCCGCCGCGCGAATAGTGGGGAGGCAGTCTTGTCAGATGTACCTTCCTTTCGGCAGATT